ATTGGAGATAAGTGCAGTGATTCATTGAAACATGAGCAATCATACATGGAAATACAGCAAAAAGGCAAACACAGAGTTTGTACAATTGTAATGCGCTTGAAAGTCGGTTTTTCAATAAGCCACCTTTGTTCTTCCACACTGTCTCCACTCTAGTGGACAAGACTTCTTATAATTTCTTTAAGTACTCTTCAGGAATAGTTCTCCAGGCTCCTTCAAGGACATTCAAAGCTCTTATTTGGATGATTGCTGCCTTTCGTTCCGTTAGACTTGTTGCCACTGATTTTCAGTTCTGTTCTCTTGTAATTTAGCATACCTCAGCCTTTACTCCCTGTTTCTTATCTGTAAGAATGGCTTACTGAAAGCTTCTGGTAAGACTTCAATGAACAGCAAATGCATCAAGTGAAGGGCCAGGTGCATATCTCAAGTCTTTGCTGGATTTTTATTTTTAACTCTTTTTGTTTTACCTTCACTTTAAGGACACACTGCACAACATGCTGAGATGAGTTTTCAGCTAATAGTTCTTTGGGAATCACTTTGTTGGTGCAAAATTATTATTTTATGCCTGTTAAACTGTTGTCTTTGGCATTTTTCATCGATTCAGCTAAAGAAATTGGTACAGATTGTATATTTTTCCAACAGGCTGCTAGTAACAAATGCCTAAAAACACAATTTAAAACTGGTTCTTTGATAAGTTGTCTGCAATGCGTAGAAACAACACTGGTTCATCTCTTGTGAAAGGTGCCTTTTTATGCCTGAATGGCTCAGTGTTAAGCGGCTTAAGAAAAAAAAACAAAAAAACATTCACCTGAAAATGATCAGGACTGGATTGAAAATGAGTGGAAAAATCCGCCAATGTCCAAAGAAAAATTCTGAAAGACCTTTGAAAGCCTGGAGAACTATTGCTCAAGACTCACTTTAAAAAATTAAATAAAACTTTGGCTCCTTGGAAACAAAAGAAAAACATTTGAGGGGTGACATATGGTATTGACTTTTTCATGGCTTCACAGCTTGGTGTGTGTTTAGCAGGAGTAATTTTCTTGCATATTTTTCAGAGTCCAGTGCATTGTTCAACTAGCTCCTTTTTTAGGTACTAAATCATCATCGGAGGCTTGGCTCTTGCTGTCAGAGATACCTGGGCTTGTCCCATTGTTGTGAGGACCGTGGAGCACAAATGCATGGTGTTGCTGTAGCAACGATATCACAGTCTATTACTTTTATATTATACAATGTGATATATCTACTGTCCAGTGAGGTTCACATGGTGGTCAGATGACAAATTAAAAAGTAAAATTAGCAGTTAGCAGTTAGCTAAACACAGACTTTCATGGCTTCCAGGTCATTTGTGTGGTCAGATTTACATGTGAGATAACATAAAACTGCTCCAGATGTGCACGATGTATTTGCTATAAAACTGACACATTCAAAATAACTGTTTAACTATTTGCACAATATGATCATTAATAAGGCAAAAACAACATTTCACCTGCATTGTCGTCCTGCAGCAAATCAGCAACTGCTGTGTCTACATAACTGCACATCAAACACAGAGAGTAATTCATCTTTATAGATGTATTGTGAAAGTCGTTAAGGATCGTGTTAATCAACGTTACGGTAGTTTCACTTTACTCATTGTTAAATTATGCTGTTGCTGTGGGGATGTGTAGCGTGGCTTTTGTTATGTCACCAGTGGTGACTCATCCTATTGTATTTCAGTCAACTGTTACCTACTGCGATACCTGCATTCTTCTGTTTTTGGAAGTGGAACTTAGTAACAATGCATGCGTGTATTTTTTATTTTTATTTTTTTCATTTTTAGCCTGATGACTGTAGCTACAAGTCTTTTTGACTGATGACATGTCACGGTAAGAAAAGCACGGGTGTCATTATTAAAATCAGTCACTGCAGTGTTCACGCTGTCAGACTCTCATGTCTCGCACACAAAAATGTAAGTAATTCCTTTGCTTTTCCTGCCATGACATCTTATATCTTAAATACAAGTTATATATTTTTTGGTGGTTGGAGGGGGGAGCTATGAAAAACAAAGTTCACTCTGACATTTAGAGAATACTGAAGTCTGCTTAGCCTACAATAGAATAGAGACCAATTCTACCATTTCCACAGTTTCAGAACAAGATTGTCTACTTTGGCTTAACTAGCTTTCACTCAGTGTACAGTAGATACACTCGTTGACCGGTTTATTAGGTACACATGTTTAAATGCTCATTAACACAAATGTCTAATCAGCCATTTGAATGTGAAGTGGTTGCTGGTGCCAGACAGGCTTTTCTGAGTATTTCAGAAACTGCTGATCTATTCCACACCATCTCTAGGGTTTACAGGGAACAATCAACAAAAATAAAAATAGAGAAAAACCATCCAGTTAGTCTTTGACTGAAAATGCCTCGATGATGTCAGAAGTCAAAGGAAAAGTACCACAATGTAACTGAAATAACCAGAAGCAGAAGACCACACAGGGTGCCACGCCTGAAAGCTAAGAACAGGAAACTGTGTTTACACTTCAAATGGGCTCACTAAAAGTGAACAAAAATAGAACATTAGAAAAATATCGTGACTTTCGATTTCTGTTGTGTTAATCTGATGGTAGGGTCAGAATTTGTTGCAAACAGCATGAATGCATGGATCCATCGTGCCATGTGTTAATGGTTGCGGCTGCTGTTGGTGGCAACAGCCTATCAGAGTATTGCTGCTGACCAGGTCAGTCCCTTTATGACTGCAGTGTAGCCATCTTCTGATGGCTGCCTCCTGCCCCGTGTCACAAACTTCAAATCATCTCAAACTGGTTTCTTGGATATGGCAATGAGTTCACTGGCCTCCACACTCAGCAGACCTCAATCCAACAGAGCACCTTTGGGATGTGGAGATTGCGTCACGGTTAGGGTTGCCAACCGTCCCTTAAAATACGGAATCGTCCCGTATTTAGAAACAAAAGTACACGTCCCGTATTGAGCTAATAAGGGACGCACTTTGTCCCGTAATACAGTGAGAATCAAAAGTAGTCTATAAATGTTTATGGAATTAACGCTTTGTTTGAAAACATAATTCCCAGCCCCTCTCCTGCTTTGTGACCAATGAGCTGACAGCACACTTATGACAATTCGAGTATGACAATTCAGATTACCGCTCATCTCATTGGTCGAGGAAAGGTCGCTTGCGGAGAAAATACCGGAAGACAACAGATGACCACAACAAGAAGCATGGTCAACAGGGAAACAAACGCCGACTCTGCGGTGCAAGTCTCGGACGACAGTACACCTAAAGCTGGGCAGACACTGTGCGATTTTTTCAGTCACGTTATTCAGCTCCTGCTCAAACTGCACGATTGACTCACAGGGGTTAGAAGTTGGTAGGTCACGATGCAGGTCTCACACTATACCGCCCGATGCTCTGATGCGACCTGAGTGCTCACACTGTGCCTCCATAAAATGAAGGTTATAACAGAAAATCTGTCGCTCTGTCTTTCACTCACACAGACACACCACCACCACCATCAACTTTGCTAAATTGCTAATGAAAAACATTGATCAGGCAGCTGTGATTGAGCAGCAGTGTAGATCCAACTATTTTCACGGTTGTTGTGGTCGTGATAATTTTGTGATGCCACATCGAAAAGGCTCGGATGAGCTTTCCAAAGTTCTACAAGTTGTGCCTCCATCGCTTGTGTCCAGATCACACGCTGCACAGCCGTGCTGCGCCATCTTTTTCACCAACGTTTACGTTTGCGCGTGAGCAGTGTGAGCGCCTGTGGTGACACCCTCACGAGCGATTGATGATTGGGAGCTGGTCGTGAGGTGTTAATCACTTCTCGTTACCCCACGTATACTACACGATGCACGATGAAGGCCAAAATCGGTCCGATCACTCAAAAATCGGCTCAAAATGGGCCAAAAATCGCACAGTGTGAGCCCAGCATTAGAGCAGCAATGTTTGTTCCCCTCAGAGAAAGGGAAGAATGGGAAAAGGAAAACACCTGGCTGGAAAACGTTAATATGGGCATGTGCAGTGAATATCAGCGCTATGTGGCCAGAAGTGTGATAATATAATTTATTTTGTGTAATAAACAACTGCAAGGATAGATGATTACAACAAATTGATGACTAATACATAAAAGTAATACATAGATGAATAATGATGATGAGTTATGATGCGTAATCATGGGAACAAGCGGGTTTACAAACAGGAGCAGCTGATTAGCATTAGAAAAGCTGAAATAATACCTCAACTGAAGCCAATTGTACTAAATGCACTAAATGTGCACTGTTACAAGAATGTTTTTCTTTCTATTGTTTTCTATTATTTTAAGTTAAGCAGGACAGAGTTCTTTTAAAGAAAGATTTACTTATATTCTCAAAAGTTAAGCATGACAGGCTTCTGTTTAAGAAAGAGACCTGTTTTACTGTGTTAATGTTGTCATTTTGAGCTAAAAATAAATGGCTAAATGATCATTTGTTTCACATGTGTTCATATCACAAAGAATAGAATATGCATCTACTTAAATCAACTTCAAGTCAAATGGTTAAAAAAATAATTTCACACACAAAAAAAGAGCTAGAAAATTCACCACACTGGGAAGGGTGAAGACAACTGGGTCGCCCGGCCCTGGCCACGAGGTGTCCCTTATTTATTTTTCAGGGAGTTGGCAACCCTAGTCACGGTTGAGCAGCTCACAAATCTGCTGTGTGACGCTGTCACGTCAGTACGGACCAGGGAAAGTTTCCAAAACCTTGCTGAATGTGTACCAAGAAGAATTAAGGAAGTCCTGAAGGTAAAACAGGGTCCAACTCAGTACTAGCAACGTGTACACAGTGAGTGTTTCTTACTTGTAGCACAACAGTTTGCAATATAGCATAAAGTACAGGAACAACAAAGTGATTCAAACTGATTATAAATCTATGATGAAACGGTCTGTGGATATATTGGTACGTTTTTTCACATTTATGCCAGACGTAGAGCAGAAGACACACACACAGACACACACACATATCCGCATCTCCCTTACCCCGCGGAGTTCAGCAGATGGAGCCCGCACACCAGCAGGACACACGCGGATGAAAGTGAGACTTCAAGCTGGTTTTATCAGCAGTTTCAACACCGACAGACGAACTCGGTGAGGAGGAGACAGATAAATAGAAAGCAGTGCGTGCACACTCGCTTTCTCTTACATAAGTTGATTACCGAGACATTTCGGAGCGCGGAGGTGATGTTATACTGTACGTACGGACGTACGGCTTAGACAGCGGCGCGCGCTCACGGCTGGAGCTGTCGCTTTTGATATTTTTACCTCGCGCAGTCAGATAACTGTCACAATAACGGAGGAAAAACCCCGGCGAAGATGACGAGGATAGGCTGTTGGACTGTGCTTACGTTCGCCCGACTTGGTGTAGCTGCCTCGTAACGGGATTTTTACTCCCACCTGCCTTTGAAAGTTTCAAATACGTCGCTTTTGAACTTCACCTCCAAAAGGTAGGCGGTGTTTACTTTCTTAAAGTGTTCTGCAAAAGTAGCTAGAAAACGTGGTAAATGTTCTAATTACTTTAAAAAAAAAACAAAAAAACCCACTGTCACTTTATTACTTTCTTGTGCCGAACTACTTACTGTGTCCACACTGATGTATTGTGAAAATGTGAATTCAATTTCAGCTCCTCTGTTTAAAAAAAACAAAACAAAAAACACTGCAACAAAATTTTTTTGACTTCAGTCCAAAATCTGCAGGTGTAAATCCTAACATGACCGTGATGGTTATACACTTCAAAAATCGCTGGTGTACAACTGTTTAAAAACTGCTTAAATTACTATCATTATTATTTTAAATAAAGTGAGTTTCCATGTCTCGAGATCATGACCCTGCTATGGAAGTATTTAACAAAGAACTGAATGTGTAACAAAAGGTGGCCCGGTAATCTAATCTGGCAGACAACATGACTATTTTAGGGCATTAAATGGGGCAAATAAGTGTGCAATTATGGCGTTAAGGCCTCATTGTGAGTGTAGAATTTCCTGTTGGATCTATATCTGCCCATAGCTGACAAACTCCACTGCTCATTCACTACTAGGAAACAAATGTTTGGTTGTATGATGGACTGTGGGCTGATGTGCTTTAATATGAGAGAAGTCGTGGAATAAGAAAACAGTTCAATCCCACCCAAGCCCCTTCAATCCAGGGAAAATAAAAGCACACCCACATATACACACCCACAGCAGCCATGCTGGTGTAATGGTGTCATGTGTCCAGGTTTGCTCCCTCTCTCACCACGGGATGAGGTCATAGCCTTTAGTGCTGTTACAGAGATACAGTTACATTAGTTTAATGTGGGCCGTGCCAGAGGAATCGACACCACCTACACCCCGCGGCCCCTTTCTGTTGCCTTTTAGATTTCTCTGCTCGCATCTATGTCCCTTTGTGTTTACAAAAGTGTATCCCTGAATAAAGACTTTGATCATATTGTATTTACCAGGCCTTGCTGTTAGCTTATCACCTTACCTAAACTATTCCCTTTGGCCCACAGGCTGTGGCAGCACATGGGTTAGTCACTATGACTAGGCCTTCTATGGCAGAGAGAACAAAAAGAAAAGATGATTCACGCTTACAATGCTGATGTAGAAATTGTGTTACTGTCTGCCTATGGTAAACCGAGGCCTTTCACAGTCAACTTAACTTTAGCTTTTTCTCACACAGCAAACATGAACTGACAGTGACACTTTGGTCTAAGTAGCCTATCTGTGGTGGGGGCTGAAATCAGTCAGTGTTGTTTTGTTTGGTTTTGCAGCATGAAGCCCAGTTTCACTTTGCATTGGGGGTCATAGAAATAAATGGTGGTTTAAAACATACTAAATCACTGTATTTATTTATTTAACCTAGCGATTAACCAGTTGGTTTGGCTCATCTTATAGGGGACGCTAGTCGTCATAGACTTGATTCCCACAAACCCAGTGGGACATACAGTATAACAGGAACCATTGGTCTTAATGAAAGCCTGATTTGAAGAGCCCAAGATCATGTGTTTGATTATCAAAGTAGATGTGGATACATTTTCTCTTGAATTCCTAATTGGTTCATTCATGTTGAGATGATGCGATAGAGATCTATCACACAGAACAAAGGAACTGTTGTTTTCCAGTTGTTTCTTTTCTTTTCGTGAATTATACGCACTGGATAGATTATCATGGTAGTCGCCAGTTTATTTTCATTGTCAACCAGCAAATAATTTATGGTCTAAATGGGAGCTGTAGTATTGATTTTATCGAGCAGAGATCATAAACTGACCATGTAAATGTTTTATTTTCGCTTTGCATGCTGCATTGATGACTAAGTTGACCAGTTAGGGATCTTCCACCACCAGCATTATTCACGTCTTTCCAGTATATTTCGTCAGTGGTTTAAAAACAGTTGAGCAAACACTGATAGAGAACCTTTTTCTGACCCCTCTTGATTGGAAATAAACTCATACATTTATAGTAAGAGGCACAACAAAGACATATTTAGTGATAGGGTCATCATCCAGTATCCATTTTGGGTGTCTCTTTGTCCTTTGTAGGGTAGTTATGGAGGAGAATATTAACCTTTTCCCAGGACAGATAACCTTTAAAAGTCCCGAGTGTTTTCCCTGTGTGAGCTCTGACAATAGGGACAGTGTTCTGGGCTGGCCAGAGCCCCAGATCACATTTCCTGTTCCTGATTTAAAATCAGCTCAGCTGACTACTGATACACTCTGCTCCTCAAAAAAAAAACCAGTAACAGGACCATCACCCTGTTGTTTATCATGTGAACTCGTGTTTTTGTTTGTGAGAGAGAACAGGCATAAAATGAAGCGTAATAGGGAAATCAAAGTTCAATCAAAGACCGTGAGCAGCAGCAAAAAGCTAGATTGTACCAGAAGACAGTAAGCTTATTCTTACTAACTGCAGGGTGTATTTGAAACAAAGAAGCCCTTCAGTGTACATAGTCTTCTTATTAGTGTGCAATAACAGTCAGCGATACATAGTATACCACAGACACACGAGCGAATTAGAGTAGGAAGTCAATATGAGAACCTGTTTTCTCAGTCAAATCAGCCTTATGCCAGGTGCTGGCTTTTACAGGAAAAAAAAGACGTTTGCCTATATTTCTGCATGTGTGGGCGTGTAAAGGCCACGATCCGTCACATAACATCTGGTAATATCTGGATTACAGAGTAGGATGAATGTCTGTGGGTGGAGATGGGTTGTGCAGACTATTGATCTGAATCAGACTATGCTCAGATGATCAGTCACTGAAGTACTTTCTTTTGAAGTACGTAAAGCAAGTCAGTCGGTGCTCCCATCAGGTCAAACAGTGGTTCATGCCTTCATTTGCATGATATGTAAACATGTGTGTAGACATGTGTGTGCCAACACCTTTCAGAGCTTTAAAGCCTCATTAGGACTGAGTGAGAGGTACATCGTGCATGTGCGCATTTGTGTGTGTCCCGTGTGTGTCCTCAGGCAAATTTCGGACTCATCCCAGCCAAAAGTTATCTCTTTTTTCCCCCTCTTCCAAAAAACAATGACCTCTTGGAGGTCTTGGAAGAGAAATAATGAAACCATTTCAACAATTGTCTGTCTGTGAGACGTCGAGTTGGAGAATCACACTATGGGAGTTATATCCTCCCATTTGCAGCGAACTGCTGACCCCTCACCTTTTCCACCCCAGTTCAGCAACACATCATCACTAAGAAAAGTCTTATGTTATGGTGGAGTGTTGAAGGAACAGTCGCCAAAGCAGCACTGATGGCCATGACAGAAAGACGCGCTCACATATTTGCATCTGCTTTGTGTCCTGTTGAAGTTAAGTTAAGTTTGCCAGGGTTTAAAGAGCAAACCAAATCACAGTAAGAGGAGTTAAGCCTGTTCAGTTTCTCAATCAGTAGCTATGCCTTAGGGGTGCTTAAAAAGTGAGCACGGGCTGTTTTAAATATCTGTGTCGAGCCGCACAGCATGACAACGCTTGACAACCACACAACAATGGCATTAATCCCACCCATGATGCCAAATGGCTAATCGTCACTCCTTCTGCTGTACTACTGATTCCAGATGTTTCCACCAACTCAGTTTTGTGGGCATGTTTGAATAATTACACACATCTCATTATGAAACATATGCCAAAGACATACAGACATACATTGCAGATATTTCAACATGTTTTCCTTGGATTGAGTTATTGAATGTATAGTTGTATGGTTCCAGTTTCCTACATTTTTCATCATTTTCTATCATAGTAGGACTGAATACCCTCATCTTTGGGATTTAATTTAAATTAACTGCTGTAGCTTCTTGGAAATCTCAATGTTGACATGACAGCTAACAAAAACCAAACAACTGATCAACTAATCTAGAAATACACACAACAGCAAATTTATTTACTGCAAGCAAACTTCATTCACTAATAAATACCAATTATTGAACTTAAATCACAATAAGAGATACCTGAACTTATTTCTGTCCTATAAGACATCTATTTATTTCATATTTTGGCGTTTGTCTTGCAAAAGCTGCCAACTGTTCATACAATGAACCAATATTTTCAATCTGCTGATAATGTTTGGACATTTACTCAGAAATCACATTAAATCTATCAATAGGACTGATATAATTCAAATTAGGTTGAAGCTACTGACAGCAGGGATGCGTATTCTGGACTTTATAAATTTGTGCCGTCCAAACTTTTCTCCCCCTACATGAACTTAAAGTTTTATCAGTTATCACAGAGTTCAAGTGGGAAAACTGCACGTGGTGGGTATAATTGATAGCTGATGAAAAATAGCAGTAGCCAGAAAGAAGCATCAACATTGTGCTTAGAAATCATCACCTGTGTATTTTGACTTTTGTTGCCATGATGCCAGGTCTCTCATGGAAATGAGATTTTTAATTTCAATGAGATTTTTTTTTACCTGGATAAATAAAGGACTAATAAAATCTAGTCCGAACATTCACAATAAAATCAAAGATAAAACTAACCACAGAGATTTGTGGGTTCTGCCTTTAGCATTGAGTCGATGTTCCATGCGACAACGTCCACAGCTAATACTGTGATCACAGTTTCGCCTATCTCTAAAGGGAAAATTCTTGATATTGCCCAAGACATATGCTCATGTGACAAATCATCTTTCGGCCTAACTGAGATCCAGACGCACGAACGCCACAGATACACAGAAACATTTGTGGGCAGATGAGAATGCTATTAATACACACATAAGCACACACAGCCTCTCTCACACACACATGACACACACTCATTAAAGCAAGTGGTGCGATGCTATTAATATGTGGAGAAACCGGCACTGTCCTCAATCACATGCACTTGCTTGATTACACACAATAACACAAGTGTTAAATGACAGGTGACACTAAAAATAAACTGGCACGGTTACATATGCTGAAACTTGCTCAGAGAGCCACAGTGTTCCTTCAGCAGAAACAAATGGGCACTATTAATACACTTAATACACCAACACAAGCACTATTAGCCGTGTATGCACCCTCAACTGTCACACAAGCAGACTCTTCTTATGCAAACACAAAGACCTGCTGTGTACACTCAAAAGAAACAACTGCAAGCTATTAATATCTTAGGGTGCATAGGATGGACAAACACACACACACACACACACACACACACACACACACACACACACACACACACACACACACACACACACACAATGAACACATAAGGAGATTGATACTCCAGCTGCTCGGAAGTGGGGGACAGAATGTGTGCAGCAGCTGTGGATTCCTATGAACGTAAGGAAGAGGAAGGGAGGCAGTGGAGGGTGGAGGGATAGGTGGCAGGAGTGGGGGCTGCTAAAGGTGTCCCGCTTGGTGGAGAAGATGTCATTTTCTTTCCATTATGAGTGCACAGGCTGGCATATTTGAGGCTTCGGTGTATTCATATATATATTTTTGTTTATTTTATTCCTTTCGATGTATTTTTCCTCTGAACTTCTGCTCTTTCTGCTTTGTTGCTCTTCTAACGAAGCATAAACCTCACGCCTGCTGCTAGTGTTTATGTATATAGTAACAGTAACTAGCACTTAACATGATGTGTGACATCCAGGCTTAACTCCATCCAATACCACTGTGGAGTTCAGGCTAAACCAGCAATAAACAAAGCACATTTTAGCCACAGCGTGAATATAAATACTACTGAGCGATATCTGTAGCTCTCTTGAGCTGCAAAGAAGCCATTCAACCAAAATAGCAGTTTCTGCTTGCCTAAATGAACCAAGAGGATGTTATGGTGAAGACTAACTTTAGAAACAGGAAGTCACTGTTTCTTTGTGAGTGTGTGCCTGTGTGTGTGCGCGAGCGTGTGCTCCAGTAAATTGTATGCGTGTGTGCAGGTGCGCGTGTGTGTGTGTCAGTGCATCAGCATGTTGCTGCAGTAGGGCCCACAGAAAGAGGATGGTGGTTGTGAAACGAATATGCTATTACAGAAACCAGAAGTTTGTCCCCTGTCTATTTTTAGCAGCACAACGCTGAAAAGAGAGACAGCGAAGCACGCACACAGATCTTATCGGCATGCACTTCTCTTTATTATAAAGTGCTCCAGATTTTTGTCTTGTAATTATGCAGCTCTTGCATTGTTTTAGGATGAGAAATAAAACATTGCGACAAATGACGATGGCTAAAAACACCTTTATTCTTGCTTTTGTCATGCCAAAACAAGTGTGTGCTGTGTATGTCTCCTCTTTTAGGCTCTGTTGGTAATATGATAGAAAGCAACCACGAGTTGCTGGAACCCTTCAGGGTCAGCATAGAAGAAACCTTAACTGTTTAGGTAACTCTTTAAATGTACATTGCGGTTACTGGGGTGTTTTTTTTTTTTCGTCGAGTCAGATAATGAGTCACGCTGTAACGCTGCCTAAAGGAACAGCTTCAGTGTCAGTACAAAAAAAAACCCCACATTTGTTTGGAAATTTGGCTTTTTTAAGTTGTAAATGTTGTAAATATAATATAAATAACATTGGGGTGATGTTGAAAGTGAGTTGAAGCCAGAGATGTATGGCTGCTGCGAAATGAAAAATGTGCCACAGGTGTTTGTTTTCTGTTTAGAAGAGAGATTGGCTTCCTGATCATTTCCTCTTTCTCAGGGGAGCTCACTCGTTTGATGAGCATGTGTGTGTGTGTGTGTGTGCGCGCGCATGTGAGCGTGGGTGTGTGTACGTGTGTGCAAGTTTGTCTGAGTCTCCACCACCACCGCCGGCCCGCTCCTCCAGTGATTGTCTGATTTCCTTTGAAAACACACAGCCATTCTTCTTGTAATACATACTGTGCTGCAGCTACTGGTACTTCCTGTTGCACCTTTTGCTTTATTATTACAGTAGAAGCTTAAGAAAATAAGCCCCTTGAATTTTAACAGTGTTGCATAATGTTCTATTGCAAAAGGTATGAACCAGATGACAGTGGAGGGAGGCCCAGATATTTCTGATTGTCAGAGATGAAGTTTTGTCTGATGTGTCACAGATTACTTGAGTTAACTTGCAAGGTAGGATTCCAGTAAGGCACGGACGAGAAGCCTGTAAAAATGCAGGCTTCATTTTTTTTTCCTAGAGACCTTTTTGTCCCATCTTTATCTCTACTGCTGTCGTGGGTTTTAGCCGTGACACAAAAGCTCATCTGTGCGTTACAATACAGCAAATATTAAAACCCAAGGCTGTCCCTGTGAACAGAAAGTGTTATAGTGAGCTCAGAGTTCTGCTATCAAGCAGGGTAACAGAACTGAAACCATTTGGTTTAAACTGTAAAGTACTATATTGAACTTACTGAATATTAATTCCCACCCTGTATTTGTTTGTTTGTTTTTTCCTTTATGTGTTAATGAGCCACATAGCCTGCAGTCATAAGAGTGTGGGAGTGTTTCTTTCTTCAGAGGAATTCTGTCAACTCAAAATACTTTTCACACACATGATTATTTTCTTCTGAGTCAGGATTGCTGTGAGGAATGACAGCCAAACCACATTGTCTGGGCTGTCTGCAGATGTAGGGCTGTGGCTGAGAATGGAGGCCAGTTGAGAAGAACTGTGTAGCCTGTAGTTTTGTTTTGGGCTGGTTGGAGCTAATAACTGCAGCTGCTGTGGATTCTAATAGCCTAATTTCAACACACGCTGGAGGTTAAGACAGAGAAATCAGTGTTTCTGAATCTTTTAGGGTGCGTTATCAGTGTAGTAGATTTCATTGTGTGATCCTATTTGTTAAATTGACAACTCCTATAACAACTGAATAGCTGCAGTGAAAGAAGATCTTCTCACATTTTGTGACATGAGAGAAATTTGCTACTCCCTCTACTGTGCTTTCCACAAAAGTTACTCTAATTTAACACAATATACCAGTAAAGAAAGAAGGGAAAAAAATGTCCACTTACAGGACTTATGTGAGTAATATTGTGTAATATTTTAGGTTACAGTCATTCAGACATACGGGTTCAGTAAATTTCCTCATTCTTACATCCCTCCCATTGCTCTTTACCCTGGAGGGAGCAAGGTGTCTCCTTCCATACTGTATCTCTCTATGCTTTTGTATCAGTACCGAAACATTCCTCATCACGTTCATTGGTTTCATGTGTCAGTTGTATTGAAACGTAAGAACAGTATGAAGTTACCTGAGGCCATGCATTGTGAACGCTTTTGTTTGTAATCGCAAAATGTGAGACAAACTTCAGCTTGGTGCTTTCTCACTTGTAGCTATAATTAGCCTCCATGTGTGTTTTATCTTTTCCAGGTCATACCATCAGGCCCACATTGGGCCATGCATGCTATGGTTAAATGATTTGTGGCGAAAGTAAAATAAGACATGATATTTATGTTTTCGGTGGCCTTAAGAGTGCATAAATTGATCAAAACATTTTTGCGCCGCCCCCCACCGCACACACACACCTTTAAAAAGACATCTGTTTTTCATTAGGACACCGAGACCCGATTCAGATGTCTCGCTCGTGCTAATTTAGGCTTTTATTTCTTTCGCTTTTAGCAAAACCTGAAAGGGTGACGACAGATTCATGTGCCTGATCCAAACGACTTAACCGCACAACGTTAAAATACAACTTCCCACCCTGTTTCTTTCACTTCTTTTATGCATCTCCAACGCCAGCATATACAAGAATCTTTCATTTTTGTGCTTTCTGAATGTAATGTCCTCGGTATAAACCGGGAGGAGACACAAATTTGGAGCCATCCGCTGTTGCAAACCCCTTGTGCTTAAGGGAGCAGACAGAAGAAGCTTTAGTTTTGGATAATGAGCAGTTTACTTGAAGTGGGAAAACTTGAATGTGGTGATGATCTCTCTATGACAGGCAAAACTCAGAACAAGTGATGCAGATGAAGCAAGAAATGTTAAAGAGAAGCCTTCTGATTTTTCATCTGCTACCTACATAACAGTATCTATTTGCACAGTCAGCAACATAATATGTTTCTCTCTCTCTCTGCCTCTCTTTCTCCATCTTTAGTGGATGTGATCATCAGTAAGCAGGTTTCTTTGCCCGTTAATGGGAATCCACCCATGGACCTAAGTGTGACCCGCAGGTTGTTACATCCAGGCCCAGATTCGGCCATGCTGGCCCCCCGCCCTCCTTTCTTCATGGGATCCCTCACCGCTCAACATTGTGCCCAATTCTCCCAGCAGCACTTGCAGGTGAGGTCAAACTCAGATGTCAGTTCTCACCTAGTTGAGCTGGACAGTGACATAATGAAGCTTCAGCATGAATTGGACATAGCATGGATCAGTGCACTGGCTGAAATCAGCCAGTTTAAAACGTTACATTGAAAGTTTCTGTTTCTTCAAAATTCAGTGCATGGAAACAGAGACCAAATACCCTCATGACATTTTGCCCCTGTTCCAAAATTGCTACATCTGGCATTTATTTATCTGACTATAAGATAATGACCGCCTGCCACATCAGCCACAGAAAAAAGCAGCTGCTTTCACCGCAGACCTTTAACCAGGTACTGTGCAGGACTCCTCAGAAATGAGTAAGAAGCAGATTTAGGTTACTATAAACAAACCATTTTCTCGGCATTTAATTTGTTATTGACACTTGTCACAGATTAACTGACTGATGCAACACTTCAGTATCCTGTTTTTTTTCTTCTATTTTTGTAAGCTATCTTATTCGAGATGTGTGTATTTATGTGCTTGTCAGAGACTGACAGTTGCAGCTTTTGTCCTTTGCTTGTGTAGATTTTAAAAATGCATTTCTCTGTGTTTTTTCCGTCAGTATAACATCGAACAAAGGCAAAGAGAGATGAGTGAGGAGAAGAGAGAAGAGCTACATCAGCTGATTCAAAAGAGTAAAAACGAGCAGAGTGAGTCCTGTGTTTTCTGTTTTCTCCACACTGTCATGTGTTTTCATCAGTTCTTTAAGCGACCATAAGGTGGTTTACATGCTCTTCTTCTGAGTCATAGCACACTGTATGTTTTACTGAAAAAGAGGGGGATTTCCAGCAGTACTGTGAGGTATTCTCAGATTCCAGGGAAATTTGCACTCATATCAAACCAAAGTCAAACAAACAAGCTTGTTTTAGGAAAGCGTTTTTATTTTTACAATGTAGAGGAAATGAAGAGTGCAAAGAGGATCTTGGCTCTTACTTCTGAATTTTCTTGACTGCTTCATGGGAAGTTGTAATAGAAAACGGTTGTAATTAGACTATTTAAATACTAAATCACTATTATTTCTTATTGTCATCCACACTCTTGGACATATATCTACCTGCCCTTTGTCTGTGTATGATCTTTTTCTTTCTTGACAGGTGCTATAGCCAGTCCCCTGGTAAAGCAGAAACTTCGGGAACACATAATTATGAAGAGCCAGCCAACCCATGATAGAGTGACTCCCAACCACAGCAGTCCTGCCCCAGGATTCGGGTGAGAGACATCAATGATTTTTCATTGATACAAACACAAAACAAATGCAAACACAGCACACGCTCAGCAAAAACTTTATTGTGGTTACTTAAAATTGACACAGTCTGTTGTTTTGTTTTGGTCACAAGGCTCCGGGTTCCTGATATGTCCCCGAAGCCTCAGCCTACACCCTGTGACCAGCGCGCCTTGAGAAGAACAGGTGAGACTCCTGCGGCTGTAGCCGTGTCCGAGATTGTGGTTCTCACCCTGAGGTTAAATTTGTAGAGGTCATGTGATTTTAAATTTTAAGTCTGCTAGACTGAAATCACCTGCAATTCTAACACTTAATGTTTAAACAACCTGTCTTCATTGTCACTGACCTGTCCAAATAATGGAAAAAGTGAGGGAGAAAAGGCGTGTCCTTTGCATTGAGATGAGAGAAACTCATTTTTACATCAGCCCTGCAGCGTCAAAGAGAGGTTGAACAGCCATAAATAAAACAAACAAAAAAAAAACAATAGATACAGTGAGACACAAAGACCTGAGCGGTTATATAACTTGGTAAGGTATGTGTAAAATGAACTGCGTGAGAGTCCAGAGCAGTTCTCCATCACTGTGTGAATGAGAGCGAGCGTGGTCACGCCTTCCTCTACATTTCTCTGAGTACACGTACCATTATTTATTTGCGTTACCCTAGAACCATCAGCGCGCACACACACACACACCCTCCAGTGCTTTTGTTGGCTCTGTGACAACACAAATTTTTCTTTTATCCACTTTGAGTCAGCCACTGATTGATTACTTTATTCAGGTTTATTGGAGACTGACCAATGTATACAATGGACGTTTTGATTCTCTTGTCCAGGGCTGAGGTATTTGTTTTGTGGGGTTATGGTACAGAAATTGAGCACGTCATTATAGTGTGTGCGTTGTTGAGTCGGTGCTTTCCTGCCAGTGTAGCCGATGTATAAAGCAATGATATAGTAATGTGAGTTTGAGAACTACAAATACCTTTCTTTACTCTTGATGAGAGCTTATGTGCCCATTTCTTCACGTGTACGTGTGTGTGTGTGTGTGTGTGTGTGTGTGTGTGTGTGTGTGTGTGTGTGTGCAGTGTCTGAGCCCACACTGAAGTGGAAGTTAAAGAAACTCATCACCACAAGGCCAAACCCGCTGCAGCGAAAGATCAGTGCCCCTCCTGCAGTCAAGCACAGGACCGAAACTCTGGGTAAACTATTTACATTCACTTGGATCTCTGTCAGAGTTTTATTCTTCGGCTCTGTTAGCCGTTTCTTGTTAAAGTTTCTTTGATCTCGCCTTTCTAACCTTCCAGAAGCGCTCACCATCAGATTTCAGCACAGCTTGATCAATTTTCCATTATGGCGTAAGCAACTGATACTGATGGGCCTCATAGGTTTCTTTCCATTCTGTCGTGCAGAGTCTTCCCAGAGTGGCAGCAGCAATCCAGCATCAGGGTGCAGCTCTCCAAATGACAGCCTCCATTCAGATAATGGGTCCTTACCACTGGCTCATGAGGTAAGCCCTTTTGTATATATATAAGTACATATAGCAGGTTTTCTTGTCCTCCTTAGCATATAATGAATGCACAGTGAATCCTCAGTGAACTATTTAACCATACACAAGGTTCTCTTAAACTTTTCATTATGCATTAATTTAAACAGTACATCCAACTTCTCTCTGTTCTGAGAAGTAGAAAAATATACACTTGAAGTACTGAAATGCTTAATTCTGATCTTTTCGGTCCTCCATCTATAGCCGAATAGCCGATGTCAAAATAAATTTGTGCAGTTTTCTTTTCACTATGTTGAACATATTTATCCTTGACTTGATAGTTTTGATAGTACTGTATATATAGTACTGTATTTAACACTTTTACTACAATCAGGTTCAGGTTTAGATAAGTAGATATATTTAGAGATCAATAATATGTTAAAAATGTAACGAAAATAACCTTCCTCATTCAGTCACAGAGGCTGTTGCTGAAGGATGGTAATTTAGCTCGATTCACCGTGCCTTCCAATCCCCCTGGGATCCCCAACATCACTGCTGGACTTCCTGCACAGGTGAGCAGTGCTAGGATTTCCTCCAGAATCATTGCATACAATATTGAGGTTGTCCTGCTCCTGTTCCTGAAACTAGCACCACTTTAAAGGACACAGCTTGCATAGATAAACATTCATACTGTTGATCTATTTGTATTCAAGTGCGATATCGTTTCTGAAATAGTGCCTGCACACATGAACACTTATAGAAACTTGTGGTTTCACTTCCTTCTTGAACTGTGTGCGACTTCTATATTTTGTGAGTCTCTCTTGGTAATTTACCACCTTTTTGACTACAATAACACAGTTCAGCAGTCCATCTATGCACTGTGACAGGCTGTCAAACCCCTAAACTATCCATTAATACTTAGCTTTTCTCATTTTTAGACTACCATAAGAGGGAAATTAAATTAAATTAAATTACTAGTGATTGCTTTAGAATTTCCTGTCATCTCCTCTCGTCTTTCATTCTCTTCTCTTTCCCTAGGCTGACTTGCGAGAAGCAAGGCCATTGGCAGTATCTGGTCTCCATCAGGTTTACTTGCCTCTGGAAGAAAGCAGTCCAGCTCTTTCTCAGCGGCTACAGCCTGTGTTCATACTGGATCCACACACCAGGCTTCTGCGCCCCCAGCTTGTCTCTCGTGAGTTGTATTCCTGTTATTCCTCAATGTGCATATTGAACACACTTCCTTTGCATTGCTTACTCAATGGCAAGTCAGTGGGATGGTTGTTCACAGAGTTTATGTTTGTTTTATTTATATAATGTAAGTAAATGTATGTACATATGAATTCTAGATACAATACAACAGCAGTGCATTTTACTTTTTTGAAAAATAGCAGTCAGTAAAAATATGAAATAATGACGACGTAACACATGAATGAGTCCAGTTAAGCCTGAATATGGTGAACTTGGAAACAGAGATGAGTGGAATTTAACAAAACAACCACAGTATGACATTTGCTAAATATATATATATATTGATTGATTGTGTTATTAAAACTGGAAAGTGGGGGCTGTATAAAGAACTACATAACAGTCTGCACTTCACACTTTTTCACATTGTTTATAGTCAAACTCTTTATTAATTAATTAATTTCAACCTCTGACAGGATCTTTTGCTCTAAGCACAGAGATTTAATTACCTCTTTCCATAGTTTTTCTTTTATCCATGATTTCTGAACTGAGCCCAACAAATAAGCATTTCCTTTTCTTCTATTCCTGTAGTGAATCTCTCAGTTTCACCCTGTGAGAAATTGTGCTTCTTCTTTACTGTTATCTTAACCCAAGATTTGTTTTGTTTTTTGTTTTTAAAAAGAGCTATTGCATATGCTAATGCTGAAATAAGGCACCGACTCCGTTCATTCATGACTGATAATGGAAGAGGAAGTCGGGCTCAAAGAATGAGATATATAAAGTAGGGTAGTGTAGGCGCACAGCTCTAAAAATCTGAGTAAAAGAATATAAATAAATGTCTGCCATTCTAAGTACACATAGCTTTAGTTATGAATGGACGCTGACTTGCATCAGATCCATCCTGACTCGCTCTACTGATGCTAAAACAAGTTCAAATGACTGCATTTAAAAAGGTGTGTTTGTGAGAGGTCTCTAAGACTCTATCGAGAGAAGATCGATACCTTGTCTGTGTTGTGCTGTGTTTTTTGTTGCATCATTTTTCAAAATGGCACGAGGGCGCTCTCTGCTGTAAGTGCTGCTCTACATGCAAGCAATGCATGGCTCTCAATATTTTTCTTTTTGAGTGTTTTTAATATGAAATACAGCTGTGGAATATTTCATCCTTCTACAGTTGAGTCCAATAACAATAATCGATTTAGTTTGGATTTTTTTTTTCCTGCATTCTTGTTTTTCACCTTTTCTAAAACATTACGTTTCTTCTCTTCTCCACAGTTCCTGGTTTGAGCACCATCTCTCTGCAGCAGCACCCTCACCTGTCTACTCTGTCCAGAAGAGAAGGTCACAAACCTTTGGAACGAACACGTTCAGAACCGCCACCCTACAGCCACTCACAGTTATCTCTGCAAACCAGCCATCACCCGCACATCCAGCACTCGCTGAACCAGCAGTACCACAGGAGCGGGGTGGAGAGATTCAAGCAGAATTCACACCTGAGCAAGGTGAAAGGAGGCTCATTTCTTAAGAAGTATAATCTAGTACTAACAGATTGACTAATGACCTGCACCTGCTTGGATTTCCTTTTTCATGATCAGTCTTACTGAAATATGTCTTAAAGAGAGTCCTTATTTTAAGAATTGAAAACTGTAAAAGTTCTAGCTTACGTGAGCTGGGAAAAAAAGATAGATAATAGGCTTCCTCTGACACAGATCCCATCAGAGGACATGGACCTAGAGGAGACTGGATCGGGATCAGGTTCAGGGACAGGTTCTGTGTGCGGCTCAGAGCCCGGATCAATTTGTGAGGATGACTATCGGCGGAGACAGAGCAACGCCAGCACAGACTCTGTGTACGACACAGAGTCTACTACCTCCTCCCGGGAGAGCTTGATCGAGCCCTCCTACTCTTACAATCAGGTAAAAGTCACTCTTACATGTGCACACATAGAAATTATTCTTATTTTTTTATTGCCTACTGGCGCATGAATCAGTGAATCTCTTCTAATGACCTTAATCAGTAACATATCTTATCATGAGTGCCCCTTTCTGGTCCACTAATGATTGAGTATTAGTTAGCAGGTTAGCAGACAGTATTATGAATACCATTATCTTGCATCCGTAACATAAATGAATTCTTTCGAATGGAGCGTCTTTTTGCCATCAGGAGGCACTGTTGCCTTGCTAATACAAGCAGAAGACTTTGATTTACAGTATCACTTCAGCATTCTTGGAAGAGCTCACTTTTCTTTATCAACAGTCTGTTTTAGAGAAGGAGAAATAAACACACCAAATAATAAGTCTCTTATTTGAGTTTAGCATATTGTGTATGTGACAGGTTTCCTGCAGGGAGTCTTTACTATGTGCAGCTGCTGATAAATCCTTACATATTCTTGTCTATTGTCTGTTCTTTTTTTCACCCACTGTTCTTGCAGAGGCAGGTGATCCTTAGACCAAGTCTGCAGATAGATCCGCTGGGTGTGCCATCCTTAATTTGGCCTCACCAGCCTGTCAGTCGGTCCCGGTCCTCCCCCGCCTCCACCTCCCTGCCTCCTGCTTCACATCAACCCACCACCATACCTTCCATGTCATTATCCAACCCTGCTACAGACACCCAGCTGCGCTTCACCACAGGTGAGTGACAGTTGATCAGCAACATTAAAAGAAGCATTCCAACTACCTGATGATGTAATTTGATTACAAGATATGACGATGGTATTACAACATTATTGAAGAGGGACAATATGGTCAAATGATGTGTTTCCATGTGTGTGCATTAAGGTTTAGCATATGATGGTCAGATGCAGAAGCACCAGTGTATTTGTGGGGACAACAGCCGTCACGCTGAGCATGCAGGAAGGATCCAGAGCATCTGGTCTAGACTGCATGAAAGGGGCCTAAGGAGTCAGTGTGAGGTATGGTGCACACACATTATCCTACAGATGCATACCCCATGACCATAGCATGCAGTCTAAATGTATATATCTGTATACTTCTATTTCTAGCGCATCCGCAGTAGAAAAGCAACCCTAGAAGAGCTGCAGTCAGTCCATTCAGAAAAACACGTACTTTTATTTGGCACCAACCCGCTCAACCGCCTCAAGCTGGACAGCCGCAAACTCGCTGGTAAGATCAATAACAAACGTGAAGAACACAATGACTATAGCGCAATTGTAATAGTAATAATGATAACAATATGTTCGTGTTATACATTATCCTCTGCAGGAATCCTGTCTCAACATGTTTTTTTGATGTTACCATGTGGAGGGGTTGGGGTAGGTGTTACACACACACACCTAAGCACACAAATTAAACAAGTCATTTTGGAATCTTTTCACTTATCTAATTGCAATGCTGAGCAACAAAAGCTGCATGGGAGGTTATGCCTCATTACACAGTTAAGCTAAGAAGACTACAAATTGCAATTGCTATTGTTTTTGGTTACTTTAAAATCTAAATTATATAAATGTAGGACATTGCATACATCGTTATTGCTCATGGCATATTCATCTACAATAGAGATGTGAGAAAAAGGAAAAGGAGAAGGAAAAAGATAACATAAAGACTGCATAAAAAGACTTCCAAGTGGCTGGATGTGGGGGAAACAGAGTATCAGGATAGAGAAAAGTCAAATTTAAGAGAAAAACAATGGTAGGAGAGCAGATCAGATTAAATGGAACAATGCACTATGGGAAAAGGAACAAAGCGGAGAATGACATGGGAACATTGATTATAATGCTATAAGAACTGTTGTTAGGAGAGGAGAAGACGAAAAGCTGAAGGGGGCTGGGTGTCAGTTGATAAGAGAACTGATCTGCCTGGATTTCCGGCCCTTGGCTACTCTGGTAAAGAGGGGTGATTGGAACAAGATGGCAAAGTCTGTGATAAAAGAAATTCCTCTGATTTCATTGTTCCCCAGCAGTATCAGAATCAGAATCAGAATCAGAATACTTTATTGATCCCTGGGGGAAATTATTTTTTGTTACAGTGCTCCATTTTAAACCAACATTAAGACAAGACAGACAATACACTAACTAAGAATAGTACAATATATACATATATATACATACATACATACATAAGTCACTCATAAATAAATAGTTGGAAAAGAAACATGTGTAGCTGTAGCAGCAAACAGTGTGTTAAGTGGATGGGTTGTACAGGGAGATGGCCACAGGCAGGAATGATTTCCTGTGTCGTTCAGTGGTGCTTTTCGGTAATCTCAGTCTCTCACTGAACGTGCTCCTGTGACTGACCAGCATGTCATGGAGTGGGTGGGAGGTGTTATCCAACATTGTCTTTATCTTGGACAGCATCCGCCTCTCCGACACCACCTTGAGGGTGTCCAGCTCCATCCCCACAACATTGCTGGCCTTACGGATTAGTTTATTAAGTCTGTTGGCATCTGCTACCCTCAGCCTGCTCCCCCAGCATGCAACAGCATAGAGGATCGAACTGGCCACAACAGACTCATAGAAAATCCTCAGCATTTTCTGGCAGATGTTGAAGGACCTCAGTCGCCTCAAAAAATAGAGACGACTCTGGCCCTTCCTGTAAAGTGCTGTGGTGTTTTTAGCCCAGTCCAGTTTATTGTCAATGTGTACTCCAAGGTATTTATAGTCCTCCACAATGTCAACACTGACCCCCTGAATTGAAACAGAGGTCAAGTGTTTCCTGGTCTTCCTGAAGTCCACGATCAGTTCCTTGGTCTTTGCCACGTTGAGCTGCAGATGATTCTGCTCACACCACGTGACAAAGGAGTCGACCACAGCCCGGTACTCTGTCTCATCATCCCTGCTGATGCATCCAACCACCGCAGAGTCATCAGAAAACTTCTGAAGATGGCAGGTCTCTGTGCAGTGGCTGAAGTCTGTGGTGTAGAGGGTGAAGAGGAAGGGGGAGAGGACAGTCCCCTGTGGTGCCCCTGTGTTGCTGATCACCTTGTCAGACACACACTGTGGGAGACGTACATATTGTGGTCTTCCTGTCAGGTAATCAACAATCCAGGACACCAGAGAAGCATCCACCTGCATCGCTGCTAACTTATCACCCAGGAGGGTCGGCCTGATGGTGTTGAAAGCACTGGAAAAGTCAAAAAACATGACCCTCACAGTGCTCGCCGGCTGGTCCAGATGGGTGTAGACACGATTGAGCAGGTAGATGATGGCGTCCTCAGTTCCGAGACGAGGCTGATAAGCGAACTGAAGGGGATCCAGGTGTGGTCTTACTATGGGTCGCAGCTGGTCCAGGATGAGCCTTTCCAGGGTCTTCATGATGTGGGAGGTCAGTGCCACGGGCCTGTAATCCTGGGGGCCACTGGGACGTGGCGTCTTTGGTACAGGGACGAGGCATGATGTCTTCCACATCACCGGGACCCTCTGCAGACTCAGACTCAGCATAAACAGTTTATGAAAGACTCCACACAGCTGGGGGGCACAGGTCTTGAGGACAAGGGGACTCACTCCGTCTGGTCCAGCAGACTTGCCTGAGTGAAGTCTCCTCATTTGCATCTCAACCTGGTATTGAGTGAAGGTGATGGGTGGGGGAGGGGTGTCAGGAATCTCACAGGAGGCATTCCTGACATCATTCCTAGCATCATGCCACCAATAAATGACTTCTGACAAACAAGTACCATAGAAATTTTTTTTTAACTTAGAGCAGAAACAACAAAGAAAGAGTCGATGTACAAAGAAAAGTCTCTAAACAATGGTTGGCATAATGCACACAGAAGTTTAAGCTTATTTTTAGCAGATGAGCAAAATCTAATAACAGATTAAAATCTGTAGCTGACTTTTAAACTGACTGCAAGCATCTCTCCTCGTTTTTCTGTCAGGTGGATATTGATACAGTCTGGAATGAACATCACACATCAGCAGCCTCCCGCATTGCTGCAGGATGTGTCACAGACCTGGCACTGAAGGTGGCACAAAGAGAGCTGAAGGTGTGTCTTTATAACCAAATACCTCGATGCCATGGGCTTTGTCAAGAATTTCAAAACTGCAGTCTATCACCATAATGTGCTGCAAACCTTGGCAAAGCACCCACTATTGGTTATAACGACATAAAGACGTGAACCTTTTTCACGTGTGGAGATCTGGCGTTATAAAAGCAGCAAAGTGTTGAAGGTTTTTCTGCCCTTTTTTACAGAATGGCTTTGCAGTTGTGAGGCCCCCTGGACACCATGCAACCCATTCCTCCCCTCTGTAAGTACAGCAGTGTACACGCACACACCACACACACACACACGGACACATACCAGGAGCCAGCAGGCCTGCAAAGTGTTTCAAAGGATTTATTGCAAACCAGCTATACTTCTGAGCAAGAGAGAGAGACAGAGTGCCCGGCTCTCTCTACCTTAATGTATGTGTGTCTGAGTCTGTGCTGTGTGTTACCTGCTCGACGCCCGAGGCAAACTTCCTCCTCCACTCAGTTTCTTTTAAGCTTTCAAGGCACAAAGCAAAGCACCTCAGAAGAGCAGTGTACATGTGCGTGCACAGTAAATGTGGGTCTTTGTGTGGATGTGCATACTTGCGTGCATGAATTTGTGTCAGTCTTTGATTAGAGGCATTAGCCAAGTAACCACATTCAGCTGGGACTCTATGCGTGTGTGTCTGTATCTGTGTGTGTGCTCAGCATTGCTTGTCACTGGTTATTTATGGGATGATAATGACTTTTCTTGATGAGCAAAGTTTAGACAGCTTATAATATATACCGTTCACAGAGACAGTCACACTTTACGACCCATGCTGACACTGCCACTTCCAACATTCCTCCATTGTTTTTCCTACATCAACACTTTTTTTTTGCATACCTTTATAGCGGATAGTGAGTGTTTAGGGATCGGCTGCACCGAGTTGTGAGTTCATTTCTCTAAAATGATCTCACACGTCCTGCCCGCTGCTCTCGCTGCACTATCATTTGGAATGAGGAGTGGGTTGTTTTTTTGTTTTTTTTTGATAACCTTGGTTGTCTATTTGTCAGAGAATTTGTGGGTTCTGCATTTCTCAAGAGTGTGAGATTTTCTACTCAGCATAACGTTTTTTGTTTGTCAGCAGACGAAACAGCTCGAACTGAAACGTCCTCATTTCTCAAATATTTGCTGTAAACATTAACGTGGCAGGATCATCCCTCTGTGACTTTCAAGCTGGAGTCAGCGCTGTGACTGTCGCAGCCTGGACTAAATAGCCACCATATGATAACTGGAGCCTTTCCTTAGAGGTTCCTAAGGTCCATATGGTGGTTCTGTGATATTAATTTAGTGAAGATGTCGTGATAAAGACATGTGGCTGCCACTCTTCCTGTCTGTTTGTCCACAGGGGCTTCTGTTTCTTCAACTCTGTGGCCATCGCTGCCAAGCAGCTCCAGCAGAAACTCAGCGTCAGCAAGATCCTCATTGTGGACTGGGTGAGGACCCACCGCATGACCAGCATCACTGGTCTCCACATGGACAGGAATAAACACACAAAAACACAGATGCAAAGGCACACAAATGTGTTGTAGGTACAAACAAGGTCCCAGATGCAGTAGCACTGCTATTTATCATTTAATTGAATTAGACACTGTTATCTCTGGTAGCCATGTGTGAGCTGAACGCTCTCACACCAGGGTTGAGGTCTTCACTCAAAAAATGTAAAATATTAGACTTTGTCTTAAAGACCAATCTTTTGCATAACACAACAGTTATATATCTTGTCATATAACTGCCAGTTATTTGACAATATAGCTATACCATAACAATGTATGTCCACAAATCCCTTTATTAATAAGAGACATAGGAGGATGTGGACCTGATCGCCGCACATCTCCATCTCCAAGTTATACACTACTTCTGTCCGGTACTCCATAAAAAGACATGAAAGTCTACATTTAATAATTTTTTTATTCCACCCATTATACAGTTCACATCTGCAGATATTGATCCACTATCACATGGTCACCTCTGTTCAGCATGTGTGTATAAGATCTTGCATGCGCTCTGTCATTGTTAGTTACTGCATCAGCACTGACTAATACCTGATTTATTAAATACAATTAAAATGCGTCTCCTGTTGACAGGGAAAAGCATGAATGCTTTACAGATTTTTCTTCCTGCGTTAGGGGTCATATGTTTAACACGTGCTTTTGACTTAAAAAAAAATACACTGCTCAATATAAAACATACAAATTGTTTTGAATTTGCCAAGGTTAAAATTCTGTGTGAAATAACAGCGCGAGTCCTTGGCAGCTTCATAACTAATCATATAATCACTCTCCAGGATGTACACCATGGCAACGGCACCCAGGAAGCCTTCTACAGCGACCCAAGTGTGCTGTACATCTCTCTACATCGCTATGACGATGGCAACTTTTTTCCTGGTAGTGGACACCCCAGCGAGGTAAGTACAAAACACTCCTCCACAGCCATGCTGTGCTTTTCTGCTTTTGCTTATAATCCTGGTATCAGTTTTCTGATTGATGACAGTGAACACATTAGCCTAACAAGACCACAGGTTCTTCTTTTTGATTGTGGACATTCATGTGGCTATTTCTCATTACTAACTTGGCTGCCTGAGACAGTTTATAACAATATAATCAAAGACATCGTGAAGACAGATATGCTGGCACAGAAATGTTTGGTAATTATGTGATTCCTTTAGGATATTAGGGATCTCAAACGCTTATGTTTAACATTTACTTGCTAAAACAGGAAGAATTATTGGCCATTCAGTCAAGGAATTATCTGCATAATATAAACTTCCAACTGCAAAATCAGTTTGGTTGTGACTGACTTTTCACGATTGCAGTCTGCACTATAGATCTGTTCTCCAGCAGTGTATGGATGTGAGAGTCAAATATATGACCAGTCAGAGTCAATTACATCACAATTACATTACATTACATTACTAATACAACTGGATTCATGACGCTATAATTTGAGCAACGAAGGTTACGGTTCACTTTTGTTAACTGTCAGTCCGGCATCGTCATGACAACCTATTACGGATAGCCCAGATGTCTTTTGAATTCACCATGTGCTCATCTCATTGTGTTTGTGAGTGGTTTACGTCGAATTTCGAATGCATTTAAGCAACTTCAGGTCTTTGGATGTTGAAGCTTCCCAGCAGGATGTGCACGGTTTTGCATGCCTATGTTTGCATACAGGATATTGAGATGCCTATGAATTCTGCCTGTGGTCTTACCAGAAACCAAGTGTGATGACAGCCCTCAGGCAGATGTACTGACCCGAACCCACGCTGGCATTCATCGCCCGCTCAGTCACTCGCATTCCCTCATATATTCGCCCATCTCCCCCAACAACAATGCGGATAAAATAGTCAGTGTTTTCTCATAAAATCCCACGAGGAGGGGACGCGGCATAAAATGCTTTTTTGGCTTGGATGTGGCTTTGCCTTAAGTGGCCTCTCAACCTCTGGTGAACAGTGCGGTAAACCTCTGGAGTCTCGCTGTCCCCCGTGTAGGTATATAACGCACCATGGGGTAGGGGGTGTGATGTCATAGGCATAACAGAGAGTGCCGAGTACCTCACAGAAACCAGCACAGGCCTAATCCAGTCCAGCAATTCTTGAAACATGAAAGAGAGAAAGAGGACAGAGGGGAGTGCAAGAAACTTGGAGCTATAGAAGGAGTTGCGTGTGTGCGTGTGTGTCCACGAGCACGTGCGAGCGTGCATGCGGGTACATTACCAGTTGGCAGAGGACAGGAGGCCTCATGTGTTTTTCGTTTGCCCTGTGAACATCCCGTCCACTGAGAGAAGAATGGAGACAGACGCTCTGCGATGCTCATCAGCATTCTTTTCTCTTTCAAGCATCCTCTCACACCCATGCACACACACACACGTACGCACACACAAAGAAAATTACCACACATCTTTGCCAAGTGCGTGTCAATCAACCGCCTCAATCTCTCTTCAAACTGACACATTGACTGATGGTGAAAGGCCTAGAGAGCAGCTAAATGGCTGCTAGCAGGACTACAAAGAGAGAGGCAGGAATCCTTAAACCTTCTTTCCAAAGACCCGGGACTCACTTCACTTTCTGCCCCAAAATATTTGAGGTCAAACTGACAGGAGATCCACTCGACTTTGTGTACTCTGCTTGGCAATTTCAAGTACACGCCAAGTCCAATACAGCTTGAAAAAAATCACTCAAATATTTACAACATGTAAAATGAGCAGTATAGCGCAGTATGTCATGTCTTTTCATTTGACATGTCATACACATGAAACTCTCTAAACATCCATATAAAAAAGCACATTATGCAGTCATTTCAATCACATAGCTTTTCAGTACATAAAACAGTATGCAACATGCGGTATGTGACTCTTATTTGTAGTTGTTTTTTTGTCTTTTTTTATATAACATGCAACAGTTGCCAAATGAAAAGTACTTCCCAGTATAGCTGTAAGCCTAAATCTTGGGAACCGTTAACGGGTGTAACTCTGTTGTGGCTCCGGGTGATTTATAAGGCCATTTGACAATTTGTATCAAAATCAAAATGGAGGGACAGGGGTGTTGAATTAACAGCCATCCGTCTTTCATTTAGGAATCATAATCACTCCCTCGTGCTGCCTTAAAGAGATGCAGCCACTTCGCCTCGGTTGCTGCAATGCAAAAGTTTTGCAACAGCGGTGCTGATTTTGTGAACGTTTGACACAAATCTGTCAACGTCACACAGTTTCTCAACTTTCGCTGGGACTCATTAACTTTCTCGACATTGACGGACACTCTTTCTCTCTGACACACGCACCCCCCTCTCTCTCCCCCTCTGTGTTTGTCTTCATCCAGGTGGGTGCAGGTCCAGGTGAGGGCTTCAATGTCAATGTAGGATGGACCGGAGGACTAAACCCTCCAATGGGCGATGCTGAATACCTGGCTGCGTTCAGGTAAAGAAGTTCCTATAATACTGTAGTAATGAAGCATTTAAAGGTCTATACTGGTGTTTGAGATACTTGCCAAAATAAAATGAAGGTAGCATAGACCTCAAAACTTGAGATAGGTGTTCACCCCCCTAGAACATTATATTTACGTTTGACTTCTCTTACGGTTAGTGTCACACATTGTGTTGCCAGCAGTGTTTCTCGCTTGTTGCGCTCTCATTCTGGCTTAAAGCTCAGCAAGCAGCACGTAATTGCTTGCCGAATATTCAGTTTTGAATCCAAGGTACACTTATCTCCTCCTTCGTCATGTCAGTGCGCCTATCAACCTTCAGCAGTCAACACAACAGCTGTGCATGCAGCTCAGCTCGCTTATGAAAGCACTTTAGTCATTTAGCATCCTCCACACACATCTCTAATACGCAAGCTGATCACTCCCAGGTAAAGCACATTCTGTTCAAATCACAGTACCACGAATACGCATGTTGACTATGAGCCAGCTGCTACCCAGTGTCAGTACACTTTGTATGGGAAGGGCTAAACAATAATGATTTTTTTATATAACATGTGTAATTACACATTATCGATATCATTTTTGAACTAATTCCAGAGGCCTACGTAGGCGTGTTACCCAGACACACCTTTGGTCTTGCAGCACTTTTCGTTTCATTCAAGCTATTTTTCTTGAATGAATATGCTTTGATTCTGCTCCACACTCTCAAACACACATAATGAACTCAGAATGTTTCTGTCAGCAACACTGGCTCGCCACCAGATGATTAAGCTCTCTACATGGTGCTGCATGCACCAGACACAGTGGGTGGGCCCCTCGTCAACGGAAAGATGCTAATGAGCTAACCCATTCTGGTAAAATCCATACAGCCAATAGGCATCCTCAGAAACACTAAGTCCAGTGTTTACTGGAGCCCTGGATACTAATTAAGAAACAACTGGTCCTTTCCTGAGCAGCCGTCTGGTTTTGGTATTTTTTATCCAGTTTGGGGAAATGGCAAGCTTTTTCATGTGTAAAACTTCCTTAGTAAACCGCAGTAGAGTACTGTACTGTATTGTGTGTTACACATAAAAGCTAATATCAAATCATAGCTCTGTAGCGCAGCAGTGTCGTGGTGGTCCGTGGCAGTTGGAGGCACATACCGTGTAGCCGTGTCCGGGGCAACCTTTATCATATGTCACCACAGAGAGACCAGAATTCCTCAGTTATAATTGGTTGGGTTTGGGGTTAGAAACAAAGAACAACTTATATTAAGTTTGAATCATTTTTCTGTGAACTTTGCCACCATTCTGTGAATTAACCAGTGCGAATAAATGCGTAGCATGCTTTACAGACAAAATTTAATGCATCATGAATTTGTGTTTATGCAATTAAGTCTACCTAACCTCGTGCCAGCTCTGTAATTCAATTTGATTTAGATGACAGGGTGTTCCAGACTCTCTGTGTTTCTGCTCGGGATGGAACAGAAAACTAGCCAGAGTGCGGTTACTGATGATGTGTGTCTCTGTTTTTGGGTGTGTATCGAAGGCATATTGTGGTCGGGAGTGGTGGTGGGACTCTAGTACAATCAAGAGAGAGCTCAGCTGCTTTGAGATTAAGCATCATGATGCATTTCGTATTTGTGTGGAGGATTACTAAGACGGTCAGAATTTAAGCTCGGCCGAATCACCAGTAGCACACCATGAATCAAACTTGCAGTTTCAAAGGAAGAGCATGCATATGCAGGTATTGCAATGTGTACATAGTGTGTATGTGCATGTAAATACATTTCCTGTGTATTTCCAAGTGGCTACTGACCAATGATGAACTGTGGAGGAGAGGAGAATAGAGCAGAAGAGAGGAGAAGAAGTGGGGGGTACATTGTTAGGGAATCCAAAGGCGGCGTAATTAGGCCCAATGGATCCCAGATGGCTGGCTGTCAGTGACGTGAGAAGAGGGACGAGCTCCTAATAGGAACCAGACGCACACAAACGTCTTTGAACTGCCGCTGAGAGGGGGTGGGGTTGGGGGGTGGTGGGGGAGAGTGAGAAAGAATCAAACGCGGCATGGGCCGTGTGCTCTTGCTAAAAAACTGGCAGCTAGAGACAAGAGGAAGTAAGAAGGAGAGCAAAGAAGCAAGAAAGCTGGGCTCCCATGAGTGGAGTTTACAGTCTGTGGACACCTCAGCCTATTTATGTCAAGGGTCTCCCTTTACCTGTTTGTAACATGCAGAGAAAAACTTTTAATTGTGTCCCACTTGTAGACCCATATCTATATAGATAGATAGATAGATAGATAGCCAAGTAAGGTATGCAGAGCACTCGTTCTTCTTTTTTAACGGCTTCACATTTAAACAGTTGCACACATTCACACCTGGGAGGTGCCCCACCTTCCACGGTTGGCTGCTTACCAAGAGTGGATCAAGAACAGAGATGAAGCACTTGGAGCACTGCCTTTGATAATTTCTCTTTTCATGATTTTCAAATAGGGGAGCTATTTGCAATCACTTACAATTAAGTAAGTGTTTGCAGTTAACAGTCCAGATAAAAGTTGTGAAGTATATGAATGCTCTTTGTGAAATCAGTCACTTCAACTCTTTTTTTTTTTGTTCAAACTCTCTTCATTACAATAATTAATCTGTTACAGCCTGCTCTGATGTTAATTTGATCACACATTATGTTCTACTCACCCCACCCCTCAGTTCTCATTTTCTCTCAAATCATGAACACCTGTTGAAAAAAAAATTACTTCTTAAATGTGCTGTCTAATTTCTGCCTGGCCACACTGCTTGATGAATAGAACATAACACGCAGTGTTTGCTTTACGCCATTGCGTTTCCTTTTGTGGTCCTCAGAGCTGTGGTGATGCCCATCGCTCACGAGTTTTCCCCTGATGTCGTCCTCGTGTCAGCTGGCTTTGATGCTGTCGAAGGACATCCATCATCGCTCGGAGGATACAAGGTTACAGCCAAGTGTAAGGTTCACCCAGCCTCTCATTCAGCACACTTCCTGATCAACGTGCTCTTATGAGCCTTATGAGTTATAATAAATATTTGCATGTCCTGCATTTGTTAGATTTCTTATTATTACAGTTACAAAGGTTGGCTATCCTTCACAGACTGTTGTCAAACAGATAAACACTCTTATGCTGTGCAGACTTAGTGCTGATGTCAGATATTATCACTGATGTGTAACGCAGTTTTCAGAGTGCAGCTTTGTAGAGAAGTTAAAGTTTGTTTGTAGAACCTGTTTCTTTATATGAGCCAGTCTTTATGTTTAACTAAAACTCATCACCATAATAGACTGTATATAAAAATGCACATAGGCACTGTGATGTCATTCTTTGGTTTGTTAAGCCCCAATTTGAAGATTTTAGTATTATGGACAGTTCTTTTTTGAGTAGTTTCTCAAGCCAGATCATCTGCTCTGTTAGCAAGCTAAACCTGTAAATAGCCGCTATCCGGTGCTAATATGTGAATCAATTATTAGTAAACTAACTATAACTTGGACCCAGACTTCTTGGGATCTTCTTCAGTTGTTAAAAAGTTGTTAAAATAGTTAAAATGCTCCACATGTAACCACTGTCTACATGTGCAGTCCAGTTAGTGGAGGTGAAGCAGGCAGCTGTTACAGTAGCTGCATCAGTGTACCTGCCACATCTCCAATTATATTAATTTTACACTTCAAAAAATGTAGTTTAACCAGTCCTAAAACAATCTGTAAAACTTTCATATAGATGGAAATGAGCTGTATAGACCAAACCCGTTTTTGTAGCAGGCTGTATACTCATATATATTTATTTCTGCTGCAATTATTTTAATATGAGAGTCTATGGAGATTGACTCGTTTTGCAGGCAGCCTCAAGTGGACATTAGTGGAACTGCAGTTTTCAGTGCTTCAGCATAGGCTTCATTTTTTAGGCTTCAGACCTTTGCAAAATAAGAAATGATGTCACCAGTCAACATGATGTTGTGAAATTATTCTCAGTAATTTGTCAGAGTCCGGTGTGCAAAGTGTGGCTAACTTTCCACAGCACTGATATAATCCCATACAATCAATTTCTGGCTTAACCTTTGTGTATTCGGTTTTGTGCATGCTTTGTTCTCCACCAGGTTTTGGCTTCCTAACCCGTCAACTGATGTCACTGGCCGGCGGTAAGGTGGTCATGGCTCTGGAGGGTGGGCATGACCTCAAAGCTATCTGCGATGCCTCCGAAGCCTGTGTGAGCGCCTTGCTGGGCATGGAGGTTGGATGTGTTTTTGCGCATACAGAACATGTGTCTTTTCACAGATACCTACAGCATGTTTCCCTCTCTAACCTCTGACCACATGTGCCACAGGTGGAGCCTCTGTCCCAGTCGGTGTTGGACCAGAAGCCCTGTGAAAATGCGGTGCTTTCTCTGCAGAAAGTCATCCAGATTCATGGTGAGAATACAACATGCAGCATCAAAAACCATCACCAACATGACACTGAGCAGTCTTGTGAAACTTGTGGAAAATATTGATCTAAAAAAATAATCTTCGTTTCATTAGTTTGAAAGATTTTGTTGCTGTTTTTTTTAACTTCATTCTCCACTGTTTGCCTCAGTTGTCTTTAGTATCTTACTCTCTAAGGTTGGCCATAAGCTATTTGAGTCATAAACACCTTTAAACTGTCAAAAGAAATAGTAAATCAAAAACAAATGTCCATCATTATCTTGTGGAAGTGGAAGAGATGGCTAGCAGTCACTGGATGTGCTCGCTTCCAGAATTGTTTCTCAAGAAAGTTGCTGTAATGGGAAAGTTAGTAATGGTCCTTGGGCTGAAATATGTGCTTTTATTTGAAAATGAGATCAAAGAAAGGGCTTGCTTGCAAAATTAATAATTATACCACTATGTTCACTTCCTTATACATGAAAGGATTTCAAGTCAAGTCAGATTGTTTTAATATTGGCCCAAAAATCACACCGTGCGGCTACAGCATCCTCTCTCCGCGGATAAAAAGAAACACTTCAAGATGAGCAACAGAGGAGGAAGAGTGAAATTACATCAACGCTACTAATTCTAATGACTGTAGAGCAATTTAGCATTTTTATTTGAAAGGAATTTCATCAAAATATTTTTCGGCTCCATTAAAAACGTTTTCGTCAAGCTAAAATAAAACATGTCTATTTTTTTCCATCACTACGTCTTCTCACATCGCCCCTACTGTCCGACCACCTCTCCTCCTTTACACCCCTGTCTCCCCATCTCTCCCTCCAGCCGTCCCACACACAGACAGACAGACACACACACATACGCACACACACAGCCGCCCTGGCTCCAATTATCTTCAAACACTTCTCTGGCACACGACCTTCGCAACATCCCCTTCTGATTGCACACAAATGTTATCCCAACCAAATTAGATTAATTAAAAATATTTGAATAGCCACAAGAATGTTAAGCCCATAATTTAGGCCCGGGGTGAAATATATGTGAGTTGCATTCGCAGCCAGAACACACACGCTCAGAGATGAGCACATTTGCAAACTCAAATTTTTTTTCCTTTCGCTGTGTGACACGGGACTCGAGGCCCTGAGAGAACAGATTGAATTTGAGTTTACATTCGTGAAATTATCAACATGGATATTTAGACCACGGGCTGTTTATGTCACAGTCATTGCTTATATTCAGATCAAACGGCTACAACTAGCGGATCAAACACCGTGCAGTGCTCTTTAATAATGGAGACGCCTTCCCTCAAGGAACAATTCAGGATGAAAACAGCTCTGAAATACCAATGAATGCGGCCATTAATCTTTTCTCTCTCCTGTTTTCCTCCCTCCTCTCCATCTTTTTTCCATTCTTCGCTTCCCGCAGGTGAGTACTGGCAGAGTTTGAAGGATTCGGCCTCCACAGTGGATATGTCCTACTTGCAGGCGCAGAGACGAAGACTGAGACGAGACTCGGACAGCGAGGCTGTCAGCGCCATCGCCTCTCTGTCGATGGGGTCTCTTGCATCTGACAGGTAGGGGCAGCTCTGTGTTTCATATCTTCTGCTTTAGCACTGCCATAATGTTGTACTTTATGCACGTTTAACCCTTATCTTTCTCTTTGTCATCAAGGAAACCGTCTGAGAAATGATGGAGAAAAGGTGATTCTCCCTGAAGAAAGACTCAAGCCTCTACACACTCCACACACACGCACACAAACACGCAAAGCAGCGCTTTGGATCGTCACTGGAAGCAGATGTCACTTCACAAAAACTCCACCTGTATTACTACTGGCTGAATTCTGACCCATCTGATCCAAACACACACACACACATCGACGACCGGCAATCATCTGGGCCGCGTTCTCACTCTCATCCCTCGCTGCAATGAGAGCTAAAGCTAAAAGAGACACCCAGGTGCAGATTAATGAAGGGTTTTGCAACAACGTGATGTAGCATATACACCTTGAGAGAAAAACACATCTCTGCACATTTGCAGACTGAATTAAAATGACTCCAGCACAACTCTGAGCAAGAGCCCCAAGACTGTTAGAAGGAAGGGTCAAAGGTCGCCTCAGCTTATCGAAGCCACTCAGTTTGAGAAGAAGGAGTCGTCCCCAAAAGTACGTGCGAGTGATGGAGCGCAGACGTATCCCTCGGCCGCGATGTCATTCGTCTGCGTGCGACCGCGATCGAGCGGGTTTTTCTGATCATCCTGCACTGCACGTTTGTTCTCATCATCAGTTCATCTGACCGGAGGAACACTTTTTTTGGGGGGGGATGACATTGTTTTTTAAGAATCATGAGTGAAGCTACAATGAGGTCTGACATACATATTTTTTTTCAGCGTTTTCATCATTTCTTTCTTGGCGTACCCAGGGCGAGCGCGTGTAGCAAGACCTCGGATTGCTGCAGTTATTTGTATCGCTCCTCTGAAGTGCATCTTAAATATGTAGATATGCTGTAGTTAGTGGTGGTAGCATTAGTCACAATGAAGAGCTGATACCTCCAGTCGCTGTGGTATTGATATTCGGGGGAAGGGGGGATAATAAGCCTGTCAGATAAGACAGAATCACCCATGATGCCTCAATGCAGTGTAACCACTCAGTAATGATTGTACAAGTGACAATGCACATCAGTTTTTAACATTTTGGATGAGACTCGCATCCAAACACTCACTCACACAAAGTGCACTTATCTCGCCCTCGGAAACGAGGGTCAGAGCGACTCGGGTCTCAAAATCTGAACTTTGATGTTTCTACCTGTGGATGAGCATTCCTGCTGTATTTGTTACATGTTTTTTTTCTATTATTATTATTTTTTTTATTTTTTTTAATCTGATCTGTCTTCTGTTCATCCCCTACGTAGCGCCAGTCTATTTACTGTCATCCTCGGAGATGTTACGCTCCCCGGACCAAACAATGGCATGATAGTGGTTTAGTTAGGATGAAGCAATACTGAGATAGTTAAACATCCACACAGTGCAATTGGACACAGGTTAAGTACAACCAAAGCTTATGAGAACAATGTGTTGTCCCTGGACTGGCATGGCCTGAAGAACTTCAAAGACTTTGAAGACTTTGCGAATGTTTCTTTTCTCAATCCAAACAGTCAAAAAGCACCAAAAAAAAAACGCAGGACATTTATATACGCAAATCAATTCGACATGACTCCTATTTATATATTCAGATTCTGTGTCTTTGAAGTGCTCTTTGCATGTCTAACATGATTGTGATGGTGCTAATACAGTATGTCTGATTGTTTGTTTTTTATTTTTAGTTTGTTTGTATTTTACGTTGCACTCTGTATGTAACTCACGGCCTTTCCGACATTTGTTGATGTTACGAAAATGTGAAAAACGAAAGACATCCTGTAGGACATCCTGATGGAGGAGCGTAGCTTTCAGTCGTTGTTTGTTTTTTAAGAACGTTCACGACAGCGACCTGATATATCACGTGTCTTAATCAGTGTAAATGATCTATTTTTTTATTTGAGCCGAAATAATGAACCCTGTGCATACTCGGAGACCAAATTATCAGTCGAAGGATTGTTCTGACCAACCTGTGTAAAGGTAGCCTTAACAAACTGGAATTTTTACTTTAGGTCAAGTCCAGTTTTCTTTATAACTGACTGTCTTGATTTTTTTTTCTGTACAGTGTACATAGCGACATTGGTTTTGTTGTCTTACTTTTGCCTTTTTCTACTATTTTCACCCAAAAAAACCTAATAAAGGTAAATTATGTACATTTTAAGAAAGATCAGTTGTTTCTTTTTTCCTATTTTACTTTTTTTTTCTCTTTGTTTGGTCATTTTCTTTTCCCAGCATTCTCCATTCTCCTTCAAAAATACAATATTGTACTTATGTACAGCCATGAGGAAAAAAATTTATTTCCACAGGATATCACACAAGAGAGATGATCATAAGCAAATTCAAAGCAGTACAAAAGCAACACTTTTAAACCACATGGTTACAAATGAATCTGCTGTGGCTCAAATCACTTTGTCGCCACTTTGGCACATTTTATACGAAAATTTCCGCTGTTTTATTTTTGCGTTTTTTTCAATGAAAATAAGCTTGCAAAGATATTTTAAAGCTGCTGTAATTAAAACAAACAAAGAAAAAAACTACTTAAATGAGATTTTCTTGCAATACAAAATGCAGCTTTCTACTAGAAAAGAGTAAAATGAAAAACAGAGGGGGCTGAACTGGGATCAGTGGTGGTATCAAGACTTTTTCCTTTTTTTTTCCCTTAAAGGCGAGAGCAAAGGATAAGCAGAGTTTAAAGTAATACAGTGTGCGTATACCGATTCACATACACTCTAAAACCCACAAAATACACAGAAAGCGATCCAGTTATTACAAAGTCGAAGATCTGCGCCAAATTCCTCGTGCTCTTCCTCTTCCCTCAAGACGGGGTCTTCAGAGCCAGAGCGATTAGCTTATTAGCATTTTAGCTGTAAACATTCATTGGCTGTGACCGCCCTCTAACCATCACTGTGCCATTATCATTAGTCATCTTAATGTCTGTCTGGCAGTGAGTCATCCACTGTGAAGACTTGGGTGGATCTCGCCGTGGTGGTTATCGCCGTGTAACCGAAGGCACTCGAACCAGCAGCCATTTTGTTTCATTGTCACCGCAGGCCAGCTGTTCGTTGATCTTTGTTTATTTTTTATTTTTTTAAAAAGTTCATTTCAGTTTCATCGTTCAAAGTGTTCAGCTCTTCGTCGGGCCGTCGAGGGATCTTCACCAGAGTTTCGGGAACACTCGGTGAAGGCCGGGCGACGGCACGGAGGCCAGACTTGTCCAGAGAAAGAGAAAGTTTTCTTTTCCTTTTTTTTTTTGTTTTGTTTTTTTGTTTTTTAAAGTGGAGATATTTGTCAAGGCAGGAACCAATTTCTTCGAGTGTAGTGAAGTTTCCATTTGTCAGTTTTCTGCAGGGAGAAGAAACATAAAAGGCAAGTTAGCATTATGGGCATTTTATAGCATTTCACACAAATTAAAGACCGGGTGAATGTGTTGAGGATACAACATGTGAGCGCAGACAAGCAAAAACGGAAAAATCCCCACAGCTCTTCAGCTTCTCCTTTTAACAGGCAAACATTTCATCTGGATCATTTTCAGCTTTCCCTAATTATAGCGTGCCCTTCCGCGATACCACGAGAAGTCTTGCGAGCGGAAGCCGGATGTATGTGTGTGTTAGGGCTAGGGTCACATGACTTTGATCGTACCCCGAAAGCATGCCGCGTGCATATTCCCATCCAAAAGGTGCTTTGTTTTTCAAGTCACAGAGCGTGGGGCCACCTCTTTTGTGCTGGAAAGCCATTAAACACCCTGCCTCACATTTTCATGCCCGGTCAGTATTTAAATGCACACTTTTTTTGTATTTGATTAATTTATGTTCGCTAATTACGTCTCTGGAAAATAGTTTTTATTGGTACACCTGCACTGGATTCAAGCCAACTTTATTTGTTAAAGAAAGCACATGTAAAGGTTTTCGTGTGGGGGTCGGTCCTTATTAATGTTTTTAAATGACTGAACGATTTCTGTTTCGTTATATTGTGTAAGCGTGCAGATTCTGATACACTCTGGGCTTGTGTTATGTGGTTCTTTGCTGCCTACGTGTCAAACCAGAAGACCTTCCTCTATCCCTGCAGCTGTCTGACCAGCACACGTTCGAATGCACGCTCGAGCGCATATGCGTGGAGCAGTCAAATGTACACACACGCACACACACACACAATCCTCCCACCTGCACTCAGCTCTTAGTTTGGATCTCTAAAAATAAAGATGACTCTCAGAAGCCACGACTTCTGGATGAGGCTTTTAAAAACGCAGATGAGCCGCAGAGGACTTTACATCTGGTCCCAGATCAGCCAGCAGCGAAAGCCAGATATTTAATATGTGCAGAAGAGCGTCCAACAGCTGGTCAGTCCAAATTGTAAAACACCACACACACATACGCACACACACATATGTGCACAGATGCAGCAGAGCCAGGGGTTCCGGCACAGGAAAGCAGTGACAGGCATTGTGATTATAGTATAAACAGAGGGGAGAGTCTTGTTTGTTCCAACTCAGACTGAACAATCGCTTCATTCTGAACATCTCACACTGAGCCAGACACCCACACATCTTCAAAATCGTGCTCATGAAAATGCACAAAAATGTCTGCGCCGATTCGTGTTCGTGTGTACATGCTGCGGGCTTCCAAATAAAATATAAAATGTTCTTTTACACCAAAAGCAGTGAATTTTATAAACTTTTTGTTTTTTTATTTCTTTGCTTTTTTTTTTTGCTTTTGTTGCAATATACTCATCAATTGAACAAATAAATAAATAAACAACTATGTGATTTCTTTGAAAAAATCTGAGGTAGGAAAAAAAGCAGGAACACTATGCAGTCCTCTAGAATATTTTAAAGCCTTAAATGTATGTGTATGGAATTTTGAATTTCTGAATAATGTATGAATTACATATGTACTATCTGTTTATGTATTAACTGTCCGTCTGCTCTCCAACTCTATAAACCATTTTTGTACACTGGTCATTCTTAAAGAAGAGGCACTGATGTTGTTCAACATCTTTAAATAAAGGATGTAACAATTATTCACTGATATCTGATACCACACCATAAACAGCCTTAAACAAGGGAACATTACAAGCACGTCATGTGATGTCAGTTGTTTGGGTTATTTTGTCCAACACCAAGTAAAACAAGTACACATGGCCTCATCAACACACACACAGAGACTGTTTTAGGACCCGTGCACGCATACGTGCACGCTCCGCCTTTGAAGTGTCCTGACCCTTTCTAACCTCAGCTCTTTCCTAAAATTGCATGTTTTGGTCATGCAGGCGCAGGCCTTGAGTTTGCAGCACTTTCTGTGGCGGCCCCTGCAGAGCTGATGATAACAGGCAGAGCAGTCAAAGTGGTAGGTAATAACTACAACGATGCGTTCAAGGACAGTCGTGTCCACGAGCAGGGGCCTTGGCTTTCCGCTGATTGGAGCCCTCCCCAACCCCCCGCTCCACTCCATGATGTCTGGTGAGTTAGCTCAGAGTGGAACACCTGCGGTGTGCACATAGCAGCAGCTGCATGTGTGTGTCTGGACAGTGTAATATATATGTGTATAAGCACGGGTTGTATGAAGCCCATGTGCAGCAGTACCTGTAGTATCATTTGTGATTCGGGATGAATGCTGCATATGTTTGTAATCATTTAAAGGCCTGATCAGAGAACCGTGTCTGTGCCTGTTTGCAGTGTGTGTGTTCACCTTGACCTGCGATCTAGCTGTTAGAAAAGCATGTTGCACTGAAACCCAGATTAATCTCTGCTCGGCCTTTGCTCCTCACAATGTCTTCACCCGCCTATCTTTTTTTTTTAAATAAATCCTTTGATGTTGTCAAAGACCTTCATGGCCTTTTTTTTTTTTGGAAGAAATATAACTAAGTCTGACCAAACTGAAACCAGAAGATGGGAGAGATAAAAATCACTGAAACAACATCTGCAAATGTATTCCTGTTTACTTATATGCACATGTTTGCACACAAACACACACACACACACACACTGCTGCACAGCTAATTAAAACTCACTACAACCACACAGACACAGCAAGCACACACAAACATGTGCTGACATACACAGCCCCGTGCGGCTGACCCTAACCCCGGTAGACACACCTTCCTAATACCTCACAACTGTTTCCAATCTAAAGGTTCCTGCTTGTCTGGGCCCCAGCGAGGCCTGATTGCACGATATAAGATCCTGAGGAGAGAGGGCAAGGCTGCAAGGGAGAGAGAGAGAGAAAGAGAGAGAGAGTGATGTGCCTCCACTCCCCCCCACCCACCCACCCACTCTCCCTTTCTCCCCCACCCCCTTGCTGTACCTGTGCAGGAATCTGGTGTCTGTTTAAAATGTTTTTTGGGGGGTTTTTTTTGTCTTTTTTAAAAAAGCCCTGGAGACTGCAGAGGAAAACATTTGTCTTACATTCATCAGAGGAATGTCAAACACTGGAGTGTTGATGATGATGATAATGTGCTTTTAGCTGATTTTTGGTTTATAAAGCGAAGCAACCAGGATGCTCAAAGGACCTCTTTCTTTGAAATTAACGCTCTGCCCCTGATTGTGTTTTATTTAAGTCTGTGCACTAATCGTCCTCACCTTATCTGCTGGAAAGTGTTTTTATGGTAATTTTGAAAACGCATGGAGGGTGGTTAATGACAACTACACTGAAAAGAGAAAAAAATTATAAAGAGGTGGGCAGACATTTTTGTTTGTGACTGAATGTGTTAGAAGAAGAAAATAGAAAATAAATTTTTAACCAATTAAACTATTTTTAAATTTAGAATTTTTTTTCCTTTTATCTACTTTCCTTTTTGCATAACTTTACCTTTACATACGTTTGTACTTTACATTATTTTAAATTTATATTTTGTCTATTATTAAATTAATGTATTTTTTTTAAAAGTCCTACTCCAAAGTTTCTGATCCGTTTACACAAAACCAACGTGGGATTGAGTTGTATTTGAATTTCTTGTGTGTGTGACAAATATTTATACACAAAACAACAGATCATAACTGACAGTGTATTACTCTTTTTAAAATATGAATTAAAAATGAAACAAACAAAGAAAAAATACTAACTGGTAAGTTGTTTTGATGATTAGCTAATAAAAATTAAGTTAAGATTTGAGGTTTAAAGAAAACACATGCACACTGAAATCAAAGACTGATATCACAGTTACATG